ATTGCATGAAGTATTAAAACTAGTCAGCTTCTTAGACTCCTAAAGAGGTAGTGGTAGAGGGATGAGATACAAACACAATTACAAAAAATGTGTAGGTGGCATAAATTATAAAAGTCAAACAAGATAACTGGTATAACCTATGGAATCATGGTGTACCTTCTCACAGTTTCTGTAATTAAAATCATATTTGCTCAAAGGCACAAAGTAAGCAAAGTTTAACATATATTTTTACAATTTCAGTATTCCCATTATTTTCTAATTCAAGTTTAGTCCGGTGGGAAGCATACAGAAGGCTCTCAAAAAATGATTATTTGCTTAAATTACTTTGTATAAATTCAAACCTTGTTATTTTAAAGCAACAATATGCTCTAGTCCAGTGATGGCGAACCTTTTGAGCTCGGCGTGTCAGCATTTTGAAAAACCCTAACTTAACTCTGGTGCCGTGTCACGTATAGAAATTTTTTGATATTTGCAACCATAGTAAAACAAAGGTTTATATTTTTGATATTTATTTTATATATTTAAATGCCATTTAACAAAGAAAAATCAACCAAAAAAATTAGTTCGCGTGTCACCTCTGATACGCGTGTCATAGGTTCGCCATCACTGCTCTAGTCAGTGCTTCTCTGTCCTTGAGGAGAATCACCTGGAGACCTATAAAAAACTTGGTGCCCATGTTCCACCTTAAGCAAATGGATTAGAATCACTGGAGATGTGGCCCAGGCATCAGTATTTTTAAGAGGTGCCAAAGTGAGTCTCTGGTGACTCCAGGACAGAGAACCATTAAGCTTCTAGGTTTAGAATCATGTCATGTTATAACTGGGTGAAGAGAGGGTGAAATGGGTAAAGGGTATCAAATGTATGGTGACAGATAGAAACTAGACTTTGGGTGGTGAGTATCTATACTAATAAAAGGGTAATATGCTAATTAGACCAGACATCTTCCAGACATCCATCTGGACGTCCTTCTGGACAAAGCCACAGTGGCAGGGGCTGAGGCAGAGGCAGTTAGGGGCGATCAGGCCAGCAGGCAGAGGTGGTTAGGGGCTATCAGGCAGGCATGCAGAGTGGTTAGGGGTGATCAGGCAGGCAGGCAGGTGAGCAGTTAGGAGCCAGCAGTCCCGGATTGCGAGAGGGATGTCCAACTGTTGGTTTAGGGATCAGGCCTAAACCGGCAGTTGGATATCCCCCAAGGGGTCCTGGATTGGAGGGTGCAGGCCAGGCTGAGGGACACCCCCCCGCCCATGCACGAATTCGTGTACCAGGCCTTTAGTCCTATATAATAAAAGTCTAATATACAAATTGCCCCCTCAACCGGGAGTTTGACCAGGGGGCGGGGCCGGCCCGCCAACTGCCAGAGGCCCCTCCCCACAGCTGGTCCTGCCCCTCATTCTCCCCCCCCCCCCATTGGGGGCAGGGCTGGCTGGCCAACCTCCTACTTCCCCTCCCCCCAGCCAGCCCGACCAGCCCTAATTGGGGTGGGCTGGCCAGACCCCACCTGTGCACGAATTGCACTGGGCCTCTAGTACTGTAGTATATACAGATACTGAATTATAATTGGTATACCTGAAACTTATGTTATTAACCAATGTTACCTCATTAAAATGATATTTTTCTCTTTCTTTCTTAAATTTTTAATCAAGATATAATTTACATGTAACATTGAATTAGTTTTAGGGGTACAACTTAATGATTTGATATATGTATACAGGGTGGGGCAAAAGTAGGTTTACAATTGTTCATATGGAAAATAATAAAATAATTAAGAAATAATAATACAAAAATAAACTGTTTCCCATACTCTCAATTGAATGCAAATACACCCGATATACTCTATATATTTACCACAATGAATTCTGTTAACATCCATCACTACACATGATAATTAAAAAACATATATTTATATTTTTCTAAATCCACAGTGCAGAGAACTAGGAAAAGTATGGGAAAGTACAACTTTAAAAGGTGCTCTGAAATCCCATTACTCCTTCATGTGTCTATCATTTGAGTCATTTTCTATGTATATGAAATAACATGCAAAATATGCAAAAATTATACATTTTAGAACTGGAAGGTAGCCTTAGAAGTTAATTAGTATAAGTCCCTCATTTTATAGATGAAGAAATTAAGGCCAAGAGAGTTCCAAATTCAAGTGACTCGGGTAGTTAGTTCATTAGGAGTCAGGATTAGAATCTAGGTTTTCCTTCATTTTTCTTGCAAAACAAAATTTGTACAAAAACTGGAATCCCCAAAAGTTTAATTCCAAGTTAAAACTCCATTTCCATTAAGGATTCTTCCTAATGATATTCTTATAATAAAAAACCAAGCAATGTTTTATAGAGAGTGCCTTCATCCTTCTCCTGAATTGTAGTATACAGTGTTGTCCCCACTGTGTTCTACAGAACATTGATTCCATTGGGCATTAACAGATGTAATAAGGAGAGGGTTCTTATTTAGGTACATTGGGAAACAAAATTAAAGGAGATTCTTATGGAATAATTTCTTGTGATTTTATTTTATTTATTTTTTTAAATATATTTTATTGATCTTTTACAGAGAGGAAGGGAGAGGGATAGAGAGCTAGAAACATTGTGAGAGAGAAACATCAATCAGCTGCCTCTTGCACACCCCCCACTGGGGATGTGCCCGAAACCAAGGTACATGCCCTTGACCGGAATCGAACCTGGGACCCTTCAGTCCGCAGACCGACGCTCTATCCACTGAGCCAAACCGGTTAGGGCAATTTCTTGTGATTTTAATGTTATACTAATAGCACTGAGAATCTCCGGGGTGTATATGCAAAATACAATATGCAGTATTTAACCTTGGAATCCTTCCTCAGCTCAGTCCTAATATCTTCATGTTCTTTGGAATATGTTTTAGCAAATAAGACTATGAGGACTCCCAGGATAAAGGAATAAAAGATCTGGAATACTCTACTGAGGCCAAAGCAACTTTGATTCAGGTTATAGTTCAACTTGTTTTAAAGAAGTAGGGGAGTACTTTATTTTTATTTATTATTTATTTATTTTCAAATTTGCAAGTGAAAGTTTAGGATGTCACAGAGGTAGAAGTGGGCCAGCTGGGCTGCATGGACTCAGGAAACAAGTTACAGAGCTTAGGAGAAAGAAAGGTAAAGAAAGTGCATCTGGGGGGAAAAGAGGAGGAACGGCTTGGGATATAGGGGAGTACTTTATTATTATTTTAAATTTTATTTTTATTGATTTTACAAAGAGGAAGAGTGAGGGATACAGAGTTAGAAACATTGATGAGAGTTGATCAGCTACCTCCTGCATGCCTCCTAATGGGGATGGAGCCCACAACCAAGGTACATGCCCTGACTGGAATGAACCCAGGACCATTCAGTCCCCAGGCCAATGCACTATCCACTTAGCCAAACCGGTTAGGACATGTAGGGGAGTACTTTAAAAGGGAAGGAATATATGATTTAAGTGACTAACAGTGTTTTAAAGTGTTCCTTTAAAATTTATTAAGGAATAAGACAAGAGCCCTAACTGGTTTGGCTCAGTGGATAGAGTGTGAGCCTTCGGACTGAAGGGTCCTGGGTTTGATTCCAGTCAAGGACACATGAGGGAGTTGTGGGCTCAATCCCCAGTAGGGGGCGTGCAGGAGACAGCTGATCAATGGTTCTCATCATTGACATTTCTCTCTCTCTCTCTCCCTTGCCCTTCCTCTCTGAAATTAATAAAAATATATATTTTTTAAAAAGAATAAGACAAGAATAGCTTGAAAATCAGACAATATTGCACAAAATTATCAGAATATAATATATAACATTTTTATGTATTCCCTCCCTTCTAATTTTTACCCTTTATTTTACATAATGTAATTATAGTATACTCAGTTTTGTATTACAGTTACTTTCTTGTTTTAAAAAATATATTTTATTGATTTCAGAGAGGAAGGGAGAGGGAGAGAGAGATGGAAACATCAATGATGAGAATCATCGCTCAGCTGCCTCCTGCACGACCCCACTGGGCATCAAGCTCACAACCCGGCATGTGCCCTTGACCAGAATCAAACCCGGACCCTTCAGTCCACAGGCCCACGCTCTATCCATTGAATCAAACCAGCTAGGGCTGGAATATAAATTAATGTAATTTTTTTAAAGCGGGCGTTTTGTGCATACTCTGATCTACCAATTATAGTTCCAATAATTTAACTTAAGGAAATAAGGAAAGATGTGCAAGGATGTTCACAGCAACATGGGTTATAAAAGGGAAAAATAAAACAGAAAACAACTTAAGTATCCAATAATAGGTTAAATTATGATACAGGTGTACAACTGAACACAAAGCCCACTTAGCACGAATAATGTTGTATATTATTTAATGACATTAAAAAACACATCATGCGTATGTGGTGAGCCCACCATTCAACCTCACAACAAACTTTGAAAATAGGTGCATTATTCAACTTTTACATATGAAGAGGTTTGCAATATACACAATTGAACTTGCCCAAGGTCACAAAATTCAGTCATGAAGCTAGGATTCAAAAGGAGGCCATCTGAACTTCGAGCCCGCGAGCCTTCCCACGCCCACACGGCCTCCTGGCTTTGGTGCAGAACGGGGATACCACCATCTACCTCCCAGGGTTACCGTGACACTTAAATGAAATAATAAGCACAAAGCTCCAGGAACACAGTGGACATCCAATACTCGGAAGCTACTAAATAACTCAAGGTCACACCATCCGTGGTGAAACCAGGATTTAAAGCGAGCTCGGTCTGAATCTCGTAATTCCCGGGAGGGCGGAGGAACTGAAAACCTTTTCTTGGCTTCAACTCCTCAAGCAGAGTCAGTACGGACCTTCCCTCGGCCCCGTAAAGGGCGCCTCGGGGTCAGGGGACACACAACAGGCCTCTTCCAAAAGGAGGGGCGCCCGGAGTCGCTTTAGGAAGATTTAAATTCTAGCAGCTTTTCTCACCTGCCGCGCTTGTTACTTCCACGGACTCTGTGCCCGCCCCGGAAGTGACGTGTGACTCACGCGCCGGAAGTGGGCTTGCGGACTGGGACCAGACGTCGCGGACGCTGGTGGGCCTGAGGCTCGTGTTACGCCTTAGACCAGGCAGCTGCACGGCGTTAGGAGGCGTCCATTGCCATGACGGCCCAGGGGAGCCTGGTGGCCAACCGAGGCCGGCGCTTCAAGTGGGCCATTGAGCTGAGCGGGCCTGGAGGAGGCAGCAGGTGAGGAGCCTGGGCGGAGGGCCTTGCCCCCAGAACTGCCCCGGAGGCATGGAACCTGGACTGGATGGGTGGCACCAAGACGGCTCCGGGGCAGCTAGCGGCGGAAGCCGTGGAGGTTTTTGTGCCCAAAGGATGCGTAGTTCCGTCTTCCCAATAGGCAGGGCTCTGACGAACCTACAGGAGGGGTTGATGTAATCTGGGTAGGTGCCCCTGAAGATCTTAACTCCTGTGGGTAGCAGAACAGGAAATGTGGGAGTCCGCAGCTTTAGTTTCTTTATTTTTTCTTCTTTAAAAAATATTTTTATTGATTTTAGAGAAGAAGGGAGAGGGATATAGAGATAGAAACATCAATGATGAGAATCATTGATTGGCTGCCTCCTGCAGGCCCCCTACTTGGGATCAAGCCCACAACCCCGGGCATGTGCCCTGACCAGCATCCAACCGGGACCTTCTGGTTCATAGGTCAACGCTCAGCCACTGAGCCATGCCCGCTGGGCGAGCAGCCTGTTTCTTGGTTTGCTTCTTTAGGGGCCGAAGTGACCGGGGCGGCGGCCAGGGCGACTCGCTGTACCCCGTTGGTTACTTGGACAAGCAAGTGCCGGATACCAGCGTGCAAGAGACGGACCGGATCCTGGTGGAGAAGGTACAGAGGTATAGATGTCGCCGTCGTTTGGGGGCTCGTCCTGGCCCACCCACCCGCTCTTCTCTCCCAGACAGCACATGAATATCTTACTGTAGATGGGCCTTATCCTGAATGTTTTGGTAGCTCAACTGCTTGAGATTAGTGTGTTAACAGTAGTTTACATATCAGCTCCAAAAGTGCTTAAGAATTGGAAAAAGAAAAGGCATAAGAAAGTAGGTTGAAAATTATTGGTGGCAGTGCCTTTCAGTTGAAGTCATCCTTTTGTCCTCTAATTTCCTTACACCACATAACCTGCCAGGATATTCTGTTGGCTTTATCTTCAAAATAGATTCAAAATCTTACTGCTTCTTATTACTTTCACCTATCATCCTGGTCTAAGCCACTACTGTCCTTCACCCAGATGTTCATTGTTGTGGGAGCGGTTCGTGCATTGTAGGGTGTTTAACAGAACCCCTGGCCTCTACCTATTAGATGCTAAAAGTGCTCTTCCCCAGTTGTGACAACCAAAATGTCTCCAACATTACCACATGTCTCCAGGGATCGCCCTTCTGTTGAGAACCACTGATTTTTAAAGCGCACAATCTGATGAGCTTTAATAGTGGTATACCACCCTGAAACCATGACTATCTTGAAAGAACATTTTCTTCTCCAAAAGATTCCTTGTGCCCCTCTCTGCCACAGATTTCTAATTGGTCTCACTACTTCCCCCTGTAGTCTAGTCCCAGCACAGCAGCCAGTACTATGATCCTTTTAAAACATGAGTCAGCTCATTCCTATTAAAACTCTTCTGTAGCTCATTTCACTTATTGTAAAAGCAAAAGTCTTTGTAATGTTCTACCTAACTCTATATTGACTAAGCCCCTTGTAAGATCTTTGACTTAATCTCCTATCACATTCTCCTGTATTTATTATTTTTTTATTGATTTTTAGAGAGAGAGTAAGGGAGAGGGAAACATCAATAGGCTGCCTCCTCTACGCCTTCTACCGGGAATCAAGCCTGAAACCCAGGCATGTGCCCTGACTGGAATGGAACTGGCAACCTTTCAGTGCACCAGATGACACCCAACCAAGCCACACTGGCCAAAGCTAATTTTATTTTTTAATCCTCAACCAAGGATATGTTTTTACTGATTTTTAGAGAGAGAGAATAGGAGAGAGAGAGAGAGAGAGAGAGAGAGAGAGAGAGAGAAACAGAAACATCAATGGGAGAGAAAAACATTGATGAACTGCCTCCTGTAGGCACCCCAACCTGGGATCAAACCCGATTAACCTTTTGGTGTATGGGACAACTCTCCAACCAACTGAGCCACCTGTCCAGGGCTACCACTTTCCCCTCTGTTCACTGCAGTCTTGTCAGATTAGCCTCCTTGCTGCTCCTTAAATATGCCAGGCAAGTTCCCATCTAAGGATTTGTGTACTTGTTTTTCCCTCTGCTGGAATACTCTTCCGCAGCACCTTTATGGCTTGCTCTCTTATCAATGAAGCCTACCCTCATGGCACTCCCTATCCTGTTTTCCCACTTTACATTTCTCCATGTCATTCATATACATGACACAGTTTACTTATTTTACTACCCATCTTTTCATTAATTTAAGCTCCAGGTTTTTGTCTCCTAAAAGCCTAGAACAGTGCCTGCACTTTCTTTCCCTCAGCCTTGCTATTCAATATTAAGCGATTTGTTTCATAAAATTCCAGTGATTTTTCACAACATGAAAATGACAGCTATTCTCAATTTTTTTCTTGATAAGTATAATTTTTCATCTTGGTATCAAATTGTAACATAATACATGATAGATAAAGTATTAACATGGCTTAATTTTAAAGGTAGATTATCATAAAATAATTCTTTAGTTCTGTTGTATGGATGATTTGATATTTAAGCTTACAGACAAATGATCTATGTAAATGACATATTGGGAAACTTTATTTACAAGTATGGGCATTTATTCTTTTAATGTGAGTAAACACAAATGGATAGTGGTATATTATTTTTATATAGCTAGATTTGCTTTGTTAATATTTTGCTTAGGATTTTTGCATTTATGTTTATGACTGATAGTGGTCTATAAACTTTTCTCATAATGTCCTTGTCAGGTTTTGGTATTTATGAGGTATTTATGTAGAGTGTTCATTTTTATTTTCTAAGTTTGTATAAGATTGGCTTTATTTTTTCCTTAAATGTTTGAAATTTGCCAAGGAAAACCATCTGATGGGCTTAGTTATAGATTCAGTTTCTTTAAACAGTTATGGGATTATTTATATTTCCAATTTCTTATACCATTTAGGTAAGTTGTATTTTTTTTAGGAATTGTACCATTTCCTAAAATTCATAGTTTGATCACTGTAATATTTGCAAAACCTATAGAGATGTCCCTTTTTCATTTCTGATGTTGAATATTTATCTTCGATCCTTTTTTCTTCATCAGGCTCACCAGTATGATGTTATTAATCTTTTTTAAAAAACAACCATCGGCTTGATTTAACGACAGTTTCACTAATTACTACTCTCATTATTTTCTTCCTTTTCATTTGTTCTTTTTCTAACTTATTGAAATAGATGCTTACTTTTAGTGTTCTAATCTGTATTTAAAGCTATAAATTTCTCAGAGTTCTCTATGTTCCACAGTTGTTAAAATGTATTTTGATCAGTTAAAAAATATTTATATTTTCCATTATAAATTCTTTTGATTCATGAATTATTTCAAGTACATTTGTTAATTTCAACTCATAATGGATTTTTGCTTATCTGTTATTGAATTCTAGCTTGATTGCATGGTAATCAAAGAACATGCTTTGTATAATTTGAGTTCTTTGAGTTACTTACACTTCCTTCAAGGCTCAGCAAGTGGTCAGTTTTTGTAAATGTCCCATGTGTGTTTGAGAACAATGTGAATTCTGCAGCTGTTCGGAGCAATGCTTTATAAATGTCAGTTGGGTTCAGTTTGTTAATGTCTTTCAAATCTATATTTTGATTTGTCTGTCAGTTATTGATTGAGGTATGCTAATCTCTCACTATGTGGATTTATCTATTTTTTTTAATTAATTTTTTTTATTGATTTCAGAGAGGAAGGGAGAAGGAGAGATAGAAACATCGATGAGAGAGAATCATTGATCAGATGCACAAAATTGAAAATTGTGTTCATTTGACTTTAACATCAGTGATACAATAAATGTGGGACTGAGGGTAGTGCTCAGAGGTTAAAATTGTGTCTTTGTTTTAGCGCTGTTGGGACATTGCCTTGGGTCCCCTCAAACAATAAATGTGGGACTGAGGGTAGTGCTCAGAGGTTAAAATTGTGTCTTTGTTTTAGCGCTGTTGGGACATTGCCTTGGGTCCCCTCAAACAGATTCCCATGAACCTCTTCATCATGTACATGGCAGGCAATACTATCTCCATCTTAAGTTTTAAGAATTAAAGGTAAATTCTTAGGCAAAACCCATATTGGAAATCTTTGCATGGCTCTTGGCTAGTAGAACTAATAACCCTTATGAAAGTTTTAAGAATTAAAGGTAAATTCTTAGGCAAAACCCATATTGGAAATCTTTGCATGGCTCTTGGCTAGTAGCGGGGAGGGTGTGCAGGACGGTGATGGTAGTGGTGGTGACATGGAGGGAAAACGGCTTATCATGGATTTTGTTCACTAGCTCTATTTGCTACTTTACTGTGGGCTGGTGTGTATTATTTATGTCTTAATATGTGCCTGATTCGTAATTTTTAAAAAAGTTGTTTTGGCACTTTGTTACCCCAACAGCTTTCAAGATGCTAGAAAGTTCAAGCCAGAAGTTCCTTCAGGGTTTGGTGTATCTCATTGGAAATCTCATGGGTTTGGCATTGGCTGTTTATAAGTGCCAGTCCATGGGACTATTGCCTACACATGCATCAGACTGGTTAGCCTTCATTGAACCTCCTGAGGTAAGGCAAAAGAAAAGTTAACTTTGGGGCTAGTTGTAACCGACAGTAAATAGCAGATCCATTTGATGTAAGGGATTAGAGTCGGTATTAGAGCGAATTTCCTTTTTAATCCTCTCCCCAGAGAGAATGAAAGGGGGGTGGGGGGGGGAGACAGAGAGAGAGAGAAAAACACTGATGTGAGAGAGACACATTGATAGGTTGCCTCCTGCAAGTGCCCCGACCAGAGACAGGGATTGAACTTGCAACCCAGGTACATGCCCTTGACTGGGAATTAAACCCTTGACCCTTCCGTGTGTGGGATTCATACTGTAATCACTGAGCAATGCCAGCCAGGGCTAGAGCCCATTTCTTAAGAAATAAGATCCATTAGAAGTCAGGAAGTTATTTTTTAAGGATAAAATAACTTGTGGTTAAAGTATTAAGTACTTGATTCAGGAAGTTATTTCAGTGCTCATTCCCACTCACCTGTTCTTCTTGTTTCAGAGGATGGAGTTCAGTGGTGGTGGACTGCTTTTGTGAACCTGAGAAAGCACCTGGTGACCATGTATTTGGATCTCATTTACAACCTTCTCTACCCCCAGTGATGACTCCTCAGCATATTCACCCTTAACATTATCACTCGTGCTGAAAAGAACTGAAAGCACCCTTTTTTCCAGGGTGAGGAGACATCCTAGAAAGATAATGTCTATATCACTACAAACACAAAGAAACTATGCCACAACCCTTGACTGAAAATAATGTAGAAAACTTTATTTATGTTTTCAGTATAGAGCAAAACAACAAATAAAACCGTAACTATGTAAACAAAAGAATAGTTGCTGCTAAGCCAAGAACCACAGCAGCATCTCCTTTCAATAAATTAAATGGTCAAGAACAGTGCTTTAAAAAAATTATATAGGTTTTCCTTAATATTTCACTTCTATTTAACATAAGCTGGGACATAAAACTTCTGTTGGAGACACTTGTGGAAGGTGTGAGAAACTAATGCTGGATTCTGATTATACATGATGAAAAGAAAAATAAACCAGACAAAAAGCACATAAATATAATTACAGTAAATTGCTACTTTAATATCCACAATGGATTTTTAATACATTTAGGGGGAATGAGGATTGGAGGAATCGTTGGGGCCACAGGAATCTGAGGCAATGGAAGGTACAAAGTAGGCATCTTTCCCCTGCCAAGAGGAACCTGGTACCTGTCAAGCAGATGCTGCAGTTCAAACTTCAGCTTTTAAGAAAGCTATAGAAGGCAGAGGGCCAGTAATTGGAAAATGTATGTTATCATAACCTGCCCTGGTAAAGTCATAGCTAAGACTTAAAAGTTGGATCTTATTCAAAAGGCAGGAGGAGGTCTTTTCTTTCTCTTCCTTCTTGAAACACAAAACCCCTTCCCCTAAGGTGCATTCTCATTAAGTTTTCCGTATTGCTTTATTTGCAGTGATTAAAAGAGACAAGATACTTTGTAGACAAACAACATAAGCAACACAGAGACATGAAATGCTCTAGATAGAGATGAGTTTAAATCTGGCCTAATAACCATTTTCCCACGTAACAATGATTTTGTATTTAGGGGCTTAAGTAGTGGCTATATTAATAGCCATGAATTCCCTTATCCCTTTAAAAGATTCTTATAGAGCTCTAACCACAAAACGCTTTTAAAACTAACCTTAATTCCACCAATATTTTTTCCTATATGGAAATACATATAAATATCACTTTGGCCAGAAGGTATGTGTAAATGTAGAGGAAGTCTATCTTAGACTTTTAGAGCATGGATCTTTAATATTTTGAATCCTGGGGAACCTGTCCTACTGCTGGACTCAACTAAACAATGGAGTGTTGCAATGGAAGCAGTAAATAATGCTTCTATCCTCTGTAGGAAGGAGCAGAATAAAAGACAAAAATTCTGTCTGCTTTGCTACCATGACTGGGCCTGAAGGTTGAAAGAAAAGTAAAAGGAATACATTGAAATGACTCAATTTCTTAAGTCATATTGAAGGGTTTTCTCTGTAAAGGTCAAATGAATAGTCTGCTGGTACCTAGGTCAGCTTGCTCCATATCCTAATGGGTAATCAAAAAAGTGCCACTATTGATCAGTAAAGTGAAATTCTAAAGCCACAAATAAAGGTAAATAGTTTTTCTAAATAACCTATCATATATTTGAAATTACCATTTAGTCACACAGAATAATTTCGTTATGCTTGGAAAACGTGTTTTTGTGATCAATAAATTAGCAAATAAGCTAAGCTTGCATAAGTATTTCCATAACATACTTAAAGTTCTAAAGCAAAACTGAAATAGCAGAAGACTATTGGCTTGGACAGTCTCCTAGTTTAGAGCCAAGTTTCTGCAGTCAGAATGAAGAATTAAAATGGAAAGGAAATGGGCATACTTGGCATTTAGGTGAGTGCCTCAAGTCTTCACTATGGCTTTAGAAATGAGTCCACAGGTTTCTTAGCGAAAGAAGTTACTTGAATAGGCCAATGCCAATTGTATGCCACCTTAGTGAAGTAGGTAAGCGAGTAGCAGCATCTCAATAACTTTGGCACTACTGAAGAAATACGGCTCTAGAACTTCGAATTCAATTGCTGGATTTCCCCTTGAAAAGATAGAAACCTTTTGGGAAAGAATTTTAGCCAGGCTTCCTAGTGTTTCTTCCTATGATTTTTGACCTGTGTCTACTAACCCAGAGGACATAAAAGAGAGAAGGAAAGGTGAACCTATTGGTCAGTGTACATTATATTTCTTAGAAAACAGCTTGTATGTTTTGCCCATGTCACACAGATAACCAGATTATATTTCAGTAAATCTTAATAGCTATCTTAGAATTTCCTTAAATTGGCCATTTGAAAAGTACCTGAAAGAAATAATTTTTACTCCACTGTTTAAAAATTTCCATGTTAACACTGCCTACATTACAATCTTAATCACAGAGTGGGGTTTGAAAACCAACAGCTGAAATATACAACAACCCAGTATGTGTACATACACTGCTTTTTGGGGGAAATCTTGTTTTGGAGGACGAAGTAGAAGCTGCAGCCATATTTCAGATTTTGTATATCGGTACCCTAATATAAAATTAGAGTCCTGCAGAGCAGTGGATACACTCAAGGAAATTAGCTTGAAAAGGTTTTCATCTTGGTTTGCCATAGGTTATCTTCACCAGGATGTTAGGTCCCCATACACTTGGCCATGAATGCCTTAGAATGATGACGTTTTTTCTCTGTTGAACCATGACTTCTGAGACTCAATCTTTAATGCTGGATATGTACTTGCTTTTTGTCTTCAGTTGAATTTCTGGTATGCCTTCTGACAACTCATTTTATTGGTTAGCTTGTTAATTCTAACTTGCCTTCAACTGGTACAGACATGGCTTTAGTAATTGACCATTTTTCTAATGTTGAGGGAATATTTGCTTCTGTAAGGGGGGCAGATCATATGAGAGCAAAAAGCAGAACTGTTGTTACGTTTTTGCACAAGTACTTGAGGCTCAGCTTGTCAAGAATTCATTCAGATGATGTGTTTAGGACACAGGCCTCTAGTTAGTGGGACTGGTAGTAAAGAGCTGGCACTCATGGAGGATGGAAGCCTTTTGGGAAACATGAAGCCAAGCAGAGTCTTTCAGGAGGAAATTACGAATAAATGGTGATCACTTCACTGCCACCACCTCGGACAAGGAGGACTCGCTCTAGTCCCTCGGTGAGCACTTCTAGGAACTCCATGTCTTCAGAATTTGTCAAGGAGACAAAGGCAGAAGAAGAGCACACTTTACAACCTGCACCATGATAATCAGAGTTTATCTGATTACAAAGCTAAAAAAATCAACATGCTTTTGTTAATTATTGCATACTCAGAATTGGAAGACTGTACTTTGTAATTCAGTTTCACCCTGTGAATTAATCCAGGGATCTAGTCCTTTTGCATATGGAAGGATTTTTCTACTTGTTAGATTTTTTTTTCTAAATATTCTTTTTTAAATAGGGAAAACACACAAGTAATGTGTAAAATATTATGAAGCAAAATAAGCCAAAAAAGGAAAAGCCACAACAGGGCAGCTCATTAAGATTTCTAGAGAGAACCTAAGTTTTCTAAGTGAAGCTGCTCAAGAAGAATTTTTCTGCCAGCTCTTTTTTCCTTTTTTTTTTTTTTTTTAAAATATATTTTATTGATTTTTTTACAGAGAGGAAGGGAGAGAGATAGAGAGTTAGAAACATCGATGAGAGAGAAACATCGATCAGCTGCCTCCTGCACATCTCCCACTGGGGATGTGCCCGCAACCCAGGTACATGCCCTTGACCGGAATCGAACCTGGGACCCTTCAGTCTGCAGGCTGACGCTTTATCCACTGAGCCAATCCGGTTTCGGCTCTTTTTTCCTTTTTAAACACTCTCTTCCTTAATGATACTGGTGGGAATGGGTCAGGTGTCACCACTGCAGTGCTGAAGTGGTCTCAAAAAATCCTGGTTTTTTTTTTTTCATTTTATCTCTTTTTTCCCCTCAGAGGAGGGTCCACTTCAGCTGCTTCTCCCCTAATGCCATCCAAACGAAAGAGGCTTTGTAAGTGGGTAGAGCCTGAAAAGGAGGAAGGATATGGGTATTCTGTCTCGGATTGTCAGAAAGGGTTCCATACAGTATTAGAAGTAATGTTGCAAATATACCACTGAAAAGCAGTCTCTTTAGGGTTCAGAGAGAACATATAACCCCAACTCCTTAAAAGAAGATTAATCTCACTGCTTTGTAAGAATCCCTGTATAGCCGAAACCGGTTTGGCTCAGTGGATAGAGCGTCGGCCTGCGGACTCAAGGGTCCCAGGTTCGATTCCGGTCAAGGGCATGTACCTGGGTTGCGGGCACATCCCCAGTGGGGGATGTGCAGAAGGCAGCTGATCGATGTTTCTAGTTCTCTATCTCTCTCCCTTCCTCTCTGTAAAAAATCAATAAAATATATTTAAAAAAAAAAAAAAAAATCCCTGTATAATAAGACTTTTAAAAGTCTCCCTCTTCAAGAGGAAAATTTTGGCAGGAGCAATCACTTTTATAGCGGCCAAGTAGTCACATCTAAAAAGCAAGCTAAGCCCGGCCAGTGTGGCTCAGGAAGTCCTGGTTTGATTTCCTGTCAGGGCACATGCTTGGGTTTCGGGCTCTATCCCCAGTGGGGGGCAAGCAGGGAGCAGCCAATCAATGATTCTTATCATTGATGTTTCTATCTCCCTCTTCCTCTCTGGAATCAATAAAAATAAAATAAAAAGCAAACTAATATTTTCCCTACTGGTAGCTCCATTCTTGGAAAGGATACAGTTTTCATCACCCTCAGGGTTTCGGGGTGGCCCTGGCATATTCAACAAAACCAACTTTGCTTCATGGGACTTGTTAACTATGACCTCATTGAGCTTCACTGCTGTATGCATCCGCCTCACATTGGACTGGTCCCTGCAGAGGGAAAGGGGAAGAAGGGGGAGACAGAGAGGTGGTTAAGGCAAACAGAAAACTAGGCATATCATCAACAACCTTACAAAACTTGAGATATGGAGCTTTTTTGCTTTGAGTATGAATGATATAATGAACAAAATGACTTCCTTATAATATTAACACCTTGGGTTTTCTCATTCTATGTTTGCTTGTTTATACCAGGAACACAGTATAAAGAAGAAGGATGGTTACCTTGTGTACAGTGTTAATTGGTAGCTGGTATGCATAGGCAAACAACAGAGAGATGGCTGGATTTGGGGTAAAATGAACAGATTCCATCCTGTGTATCCTGGCAAAAGCGCATCTGTGGCACTGATTAGGAGACTGTTATGTGATAAGCTTGTGAGCTGGAAAACTTACGGACGCATGTTAAGCAGGTCCTGGAATCCTTCCATTGACTTGGCCCTTTGCCCCCGGGATGCC